ACCTTCTGGGCCTCGGTCCGGGCCGGTCTGTAGTCCGGGTCCAGACTCAGATAGGTGAGATAGTCCCTGAGCGCCTCCTCTGGTCGACCGAGGGACAACAGCACCTGAGCCTTACGCATGTGACCCTGAAAACACAACCAGTACTTTTACTACTACTGCTACTACTACTACTACTACTGTTACTGCAGTACTGTATTTGGTGGTAGTACCTTGGCCCACTTGGGTCTGAGGTTCAGGGCCGTGCAGGCGTCGCTCAGGGCCTGGTCCAGACGCTTCAGCGCCGACAGGATCAGAGAACGATTAGAGAAGAGCAGATGATCCAGAGGAGCTGCAAGAAGAACCAGGGTCAGACCAAGACCGGACCAGGACTAAACTGAGACTGACTAAACTGAGACGGACCAGGACTAAACTGAGACCGGACCAGGACTAAACTGAGACCGGACCAGGACTAAACTGAGACCAGACCAGGACTAAACTGAGACCAGAGACTAAACCAGGACTAAACTGAGACTAGACCAGGACTAAACTGAGACCGGACCAGGACTAAACTGAGACCGGACCAGGACTAAACTGAGACCAGACCAGAACTAGAGACCAGACCAGGACTAAAACTGAGACCGGACCAGGACTAAACTGAGACTAGACCAGGACTACACGAGGATTAGACCAGGACTAAACTGAGACCGGACTAAACGACCAGGACTAAACTGAGACCAGACCAGGACTAAACTGAGACCCCAGGACTAAACTGAGACTAGACCAGGACTAAACTGAGACCAGACCAGGACTAAACTGAGACTAGACCAGGACTAAACTGAGACCAGGACTAAACTGAGACCAGACCAGGACTAAACTGAGACCAGACCAGGACTAAACTGAGACCCAGGACTAAACTGAGACTGAGACTAACCAGGACTAAACTGAGACCAGGACGACCAGGACTAAACTGAGACCAGACCAGGACTAAACTGAGACCAGACCAGGACTAAACTGAGACCAGACCAGGACTAAACTGAGACCAGACCAGGACTAAACTGAGACCGGACCAGGACCGACCAGGACTAACTGAGACCGGACCAGGACTAAACTGAGACCAGACCAGGACTAAACTGAGACCAGACCAGGACTAAACTGAGACTAGACCAGGACTAACTGAGACCAGACCAGGACTAAACTGAGACCAGACCAGGACTAAACTGAGACCAGACCAGGACTAAACTGAGACCAGACCAGGACTAAACTGAGACCAGACCAGGACTAAACTGAGACCAGACCAGGACTAAACTGAGACTGAGACCAGACCAGGACTAAACTGAGACCAGACCAGGACTAAACTGAGACCAGGACTAAACTGAGACCTAAACTGAGACCGGACCAGGACTAAACTGAGACCAGACCAGGACTAAACTGAGACACCAGGACTAAACTGAGACCAGGACTAAACTGAGACCAGACCAGGACTAAACTGAGACCGGACCAGGACTAAACTGAGACCGGACCAGGACTAAACTGAGACCGGACCAGGACTAAACTGAGACCGGACCAGGACTAAACTGAGACCGGACCAGGACTAAACTGAGACTAGACCAGGACTAAACTGAGACCGACCAGGACTAGAGACCAGACCAGACTGAGGACTAAACTGAGACCGACCAGGACTAAACTGAGGACCAGGACCAGGACCAGGACTAAACTGAGACCACCAGGACTAAACTGAGACCGACCAGGACTAAACTGAGACCGGACCAGGACTAGACCAGGACTAAACCGAGGATTAGACCAGGACTAAACTGAGACCAGACCAGGACTAAACTGAGACCAGAACCAGAACTTAAACCAGGACTAACCAGGATTAAATCAGGATTAAACCAAGACTAAACGAGGACTAAACCAGTCAATTGATAAAGCAGAAGAAAATGGATGGATGGAATACGTGTCTCTTTAGGACTCGTCTCATTTTGTCTCTTTTCTGTCTCGTGTCTTTTTGTCTCTCGTTCTTTTTGTCTCGTGTCTTTTTGTCTCTCGTCTTTTTGTGTCTCATGTCTTTTTGTCTCTCGTCTCTTTTTGTCTCTCGTCTCTTTGTCTCTTTTTGTCTCTTCTCTTTTTTGTCTCTTGTCTCTTTTTGTCTCGTCTCTTTTTTGTCTCTGCTCTCTTTTTGTCTCGTGTCTTTTTGTCTCTCGTCTCTTTTTGTCTCTTTTAGTTTCGTGTCTTTTTGTCTCTCGTCTCTTTTGTCTCTTTCTCTTTGTCTCTCGTCTCTTTTTCTCTCTCTCGTCTCTTTTGTCTCTCTCGTCTCTTTTGTCTCTCTTTTGTCTCTCTCGTCTCTTTTTGTCTCGTCTCTTTTTCTCGTCTCTTTTTGTCTCTCGTCTTTTTTGTCTCTTGTCTCTTTTTGTCTCTTTTTTTTGTCTCTCGTCTCTTTTTGTCTCGTTTTTTTATCTCGTCTCTTTTTGTCTCTCGTCTCTTTTTGTCTCTCGTGTCTTTTTTTGTCTCGTCTCTTTTTGTCTCTGCGTCTCTTTTGTCTCTTGTCTCTTTTTTTCGTCTCTTTTTTGTCTCTCGTCTTTTTTGTCTCTCGTCTCTTTTTCTCTCTCGTCTCTTTTTTGTCTCGTCTTTTATCTCGTCTCTTTTTTGTCTCTCGTCTCTTTTTGTCTCTCGTCTTGTCTCTTTTGTCTCTTTTTTGTCTCTCGTCTCTTTTTGTCTCTCGTCTCTTTTTTGTCTCTCTCTTTTTGTCTCTCGTCTTTTTTTCTCTTTTTGTCTCTCGTCTCTTTTTTGTCTCGTCTCTTTTTGTCTCTCGTCTTTTTGTCTCTCGTCTCTTTTTGTCTCTCGTCTTTTTGTCTTTTTTTGTCTCTCTCTTCTTTCTGTCTCTTGTCTCGTCTCTTTTTGTCTCTCGTCTCGTCTCTTTTTTTGTCTCTCGTCTCTTTTTGTCTCTCGTCTCTTTTTGTCTCGTTTCTTTTTTTTTGTCTCTCGTCTCTTTTTTTGTGTCTCGTCTCTTTTTTGTCTCTCGTCTCTTTTTGTCTCGTCTCTCGTCTCTTTTTTGTCTCGTCTCTTTTTGTCTCTCGTCTCTTTTGTCTCTCGTCTCTTTTTGTCTCTTTTCTTTCTCGTCTCTTTTTGTCTCTCGTTTCTTTTCTCGTCTCTTTTTGTCTCTCGTCTCTTTTTTGTCTCTCGTCTTTTTTGTCTCTCGTCTCTTTTGTCTCTCGTCTCTTTTTTTTGTCTCTCGTCTCTTTTTGTCTCTCGTCTCTCGTCTTTTTGTCTCTCGTCTCTCTCGTCTTCTGTGTCTCTCGTCTCTTTTTTTCGTCTCTTTTGTCTCTTTTTGTCTCTCGTCTCTTTTGTCTCTCGTCTCTTTTTGTCTCTCGTCTCTTTTTGTCTCTCTCGTCTCTCTTCTTTGTCTCTCGTCTCTTTTTGTCTCGTGTCTTTTTTTGTCTCGTCTTTTTGTCTCTCGTCTTTTTGTCTCTCGTCTTTTTGTCTCTCGTCTTCTTTGTCTCTCGTCTCTTTTTGTCTCTCGTCTCTTTTTTGTCTCTCGTCTTTTTTTGTCTTCGTCTCTTTTTGTCTCTCTCTTTTGTCTCTTTTTTGTCTCTCGTCTCTTTTTGTCTCTCGTTCTCTTTTGTCTCTCTTCTTTGTCTCTCGTCTCTTTTTGTCTCTCGTCTCTTTTTGTCTCTCGTCTCTTTTTGTCTCTCGTCTCTCGTCTCTTTTTGTCTCTCGTCTCTTTTTTTTTGTCTCTCGTCTTTTTATCTCGTCTCTTTTTGTCTCTCGTCTCTTTTTTGTCTCTCGTCTCTTTTTTGTCTCTCGTCTTTTTGTCTTCTTGTCTCTTTCGTCTCTCGTCTCTTTTTGTCTCGTCTCTTTTGTCTCTCTTTTTTGTCTCTCGTCTCTTTTTGTCTCTCGTCTCTTTTCTCTCGTCTCTCGTCTCTTTTTTGTCTCTCGTCTCTCTCTCTTTTTTTGTTCTCTTTTTGTCTCTCGTCTCTTTTTTGTCTCGTCTCTCGTCTCTTTTTTGTCTCTCGTCTCTTTTTGTCTCTCGTCTCTTTTTTGTCTCTCGTCTCTTTTTGTCTCTCGTCTCTTTTCGTCTCGTCTCTTTTTGTCTCTCATCTCTTTTTGTCTCTCGTCTCTTTTTTGTCTCTTTTTGTCTCTTTTGTCTCTCGTCTCTCGTCTCTTTTTGTCTCTCGTCGTCTCTTTTTTTTGTCTCTCGTCTCTTTTTTGTCTCTCGTCTCTTTTTGTCTCTCTCTCGTCTCTCTTTTTTGTCTCTCGTCTCTCTCTCTTTTTGTCTCTCGTCTCTTTTTGTCTCTCTCTTTTTTGTCTCTCGTCTCTTTTTGTCTCGTCTCTTTTTGTCTCTCGTCTCTTTTTGTCTCGTCTCTTTTTGTCTCTCGTCTCTTTTTGTCTCTCGTCTCTTTTTTGTCTCTCGTCTCTTTTTTGTCTCTCGTCTCTTTTTGTCTCTCGTCTCTTTTTGTCTCTCGTCTCTTTTTGTCTCTCGTCTCTCGTCTTTTTCTCGTCTCTCTCGTCTCTTTTTTGTCTCTCGTCTCTTTTTTGTCTCTCGTCTCTCTTTTTGTCTCTCGTCTCTCGTCTTTTTTCTCGTCTCTCGTCTCTTTTTGTCTCTCGTCTCTTTTTCTCGTCTCTTTTTGTCTCTCGTTCTTTTTGTCTCTCGTCTCTGTCTCTTTTTGTCTCTCGTCTCTTTTTGTCTCTCGTCTCTTTTTTTTGTCTCTCTCTCGTCTCTTTTTTGTCTCTCGTCTCTTTTTTGTCTCTCGTCTCTCGTCTTTTTGTCTCTCGTCTCTTTTTGTCTCTCGTCTCTTCGTCTCTTTTTTGTCTCTCTCTCTCGTCTCTTTTGTCTCTCGTCTCTTTTGTCGTCTCTCTTTTTGTCTCTCGTTCTTTTTGTCTCTTCGTCTCTTTTTGTCTCTCTCTTTTGTCTCTCGTCTTTTTTCTCGTCTCTTTTTGTCTCTTTTCTCTCTTTTTGTCTCTCGTCTCTTTTTTGTCTCTCGTCTCTTTTTGTCTCTCGTCTCTTTTTTGTCTCTCGTCTCTTTTTTGTCTCTCGTCTCTTTTTGTCTCTCGTCTCTTTTTTGTCTCTCGTCTCTTTTTTGTCTCTCGTCTCTTTTTTGTCTCTCGTCTCTTTTTGTCTCTCGTCTCTTTTTAGTCTCTCGTCTCTTTTTGTCTCTCGTCTCTTTTTTGTCTCTCGTCTCGTCTCTTTTTTGTCTCTCGTCTCTTTTTGTCTCTCGTCTCTCGTCTTTTTTTGTCTCTCGTCTCTTTTTGTCTCTCGTCTCTTTTTTGTCTCTCGTCTCTCGTCTCTTTTTTGTCTCTCGTCTCTTTTTGTCTCTCGTCTCTCTCTCTTTTTTGTCTCTCTCTGTCTCTTTTTTTTGTCTCTCGTCTCTTTTTTTTCGTCTCTCTCTCGTCTCTTTTTTGTCTCTCATCTCTTTTTGTCTCTCGTCTCTTTTCGTCTCTCGTCTCTTTTTCTCTCGTCTCTCTCGTCTCTTTTTGTCTCTCGTCTCTTTTTTGTCTCTCGTCTTTTTGTCTCTTTTTGTCTCTCGTCTCTTTTTGTCTCTCGTCTCTTTTTGTCTCTCGTCTCTTTTTTTTGTCTCTCGTCTCTTTTTTGTCTCTCGTCTCTTTTTGTCTCTCTCTTTTTTCTCGTCTCTTTTTTGTCTCTCGTCTCTTTTTGTCTCTCGTCTCTTTTTTGTCTCTCGTCTCTTTTTGTCTCTCGTCTCTTTTCGTCTCGTCTTTTTTTGTCTCTCGTCTCTTTTTTGTCTCTCGTCTCTCTTTTTTGTCTCTCGTCTCTTTTTTGTCTCTCGTCTCTTTTTGTCTCTGTCTCTCGTCTCTTTTTCGTCTCTTTTTGTCTCTCTCTCTTTTTGTCTCTCTCTCGTCTCTTTTTTGTCTCTCGTCTCTTTTTTGTCTCTCGTCTCTTTTTTGTCTCTCGTCTCTTTTTGTCTCTCGTCTCTTTTTCTCTCGTCTCTTTTTTGTCTCTCGTCTCTTTTTGTCTCTCGTCTCTCTTTTTTGTCTCTCGTCTCTTTTTTGTCTCTCGTCTCTTTTTGTCTCTCGTCTCTTTTTTGTCTCTCGTCTCTTTTTGTCTCTCGTCTCTTTATCTCGTCTCTTTTTGTCTCTCGTCTCTTTTTGTCTCTCGTCTCTTTTTGTCTCTCGTCTCTTTTTGTCTCTCGTCTCTTTTTTGTCTCTCGTCTCTTTTTGTCTCTCGTCTCGTCTCTTTTTGTCTCTCGTCTCTTTTTTGTCTCTCGTCTCTTTTTGTCTCTCGTCTCTTTTTTGTCTCTTCTCTCTTGTCTCTCGTCTCTTTTTTGTCTCTCGTCTCTTTTTGTCTCTCGTCTCTTTTTGTCTCTCGTCTCTTTTTTGTCTCTCGTCTCTTTTTGTCTCTCGTCTCTTTTTGTCTCTCGTCTCTGGGTGTGAGTTACATAAAGGCCCAAATGTAAAACTGGATCAGGTTCAACGTTATGAAAGACGTTATAAAACCAGGAGGACGTCGGGTCACCTCCCGTTTCATAACCGCAAACCCACACTGATGTCCAAGTGTGTCAGATGCCCTCCCAGAGTCTCAGATCTAGGTCAAATCCAGGTTCAAACAAGGACTAAACCAGGTCTAAAACAGGATTACATCAAGACCTAAACAAGGACTAAACCAGGATTTAAACCAGCATCTAAAACAAGATCTAAACCAGGACTAAACCAGGATCTTAAACAGGTCTAAAGCGGGACTAAACAAGGTCTAAACCAGGTTCTAAACCGGGTCTAAACCAGGACTACAACAAGACCTAAACCAGGACCGAACCAGGACTGAACCAGGATCCAAAACAGGTCTAATCCAGAACTAAACAAGGACCAAACAGGCACTATTTATTTATCAATATATGGACTAAAGCAGGTCTAAACCAGGATTTAAACCAGCATCTAAAACAGGTCTAAAGCAGGACTAAACCAGGACCAAACAAGACCTAAACAAGGTCTAAACCAGGTCTAAACCAGGATTTAAACCAGGATCTAAAAGAGGTCCAGGTCAGGAATAAACAAGGACCATTTATGTATCTATATATGGACTAAACCAGGTCTAAACCAGGTCTAAACCAGGACAAAACCAGGTGTAAACCAGGTCTAAAACCAGGACTAAACCAGGACTAAACCAGTTCTAAAACCAGGTCTAAACCAGGACTAAACCAGGATTAAACCAGGTCTAAACCAGGACAAAACCAGGTGTAAACCAGGTCTAAAACCAGGACTAAACCAGTTCTAAAACCAGGTCTAAACTGGTCTAAACCAGGTCTAAACCAGGACTAAAACCAGTTCTAAAACCAGAACTAAACCAGGACTAAACCAGTTCTAAAACCAGGTCTAAACTGGTCTAAACCAGGACTAAAACCAGTTCTAAAACCAGAACTAAACCAGGACAAAACCAGGTCTAAACCAGGTCTAAACCAGGACAAAACCAGGATTAAACCAGGACTAAAACAGTTCTAAACCAGGACAAAACCAGGTCTAAACCAGTTCTAAAACCAGGTCTAAACCAGGTCTAAAACCAGAACTAAAACCAGAACTAAACCAGGTCTAAACCAGGTCTAAACCAGGTCTAAACGCGGCCCTGAAGTTACGTAAAAGTGAGACATTGATAATATTTCGTTCTGGAAGTTACGTGTTTCTGTTACGTCACTCCTCTTTCTCTCTCTCTTGTTTTCTCTCTCTCTTGTTTTTTTTTTTTTTTTTAATCTCGTTTTCTTTTTCCTCCTTTTTTCCCACCTTTCTCTCTCTCTCTCTCTCTGTCTTTTTTTTTTTTTTTTCCCCTCTCTCCTCCCCTTGACCCACATGTGGCTGAATAATTGTCCGACATTACACAATGATAGAGAGAGAGAGAGAGAGAGGGATTAGGGAAAGAGAGAAAGAGAGAAAAAGAGAAAGAGAGAGAGAGGAGGAGGAGGAGAGGTAGTTACGTGATTAGAAATGCCTGCTCCACTGGCCCAGCCTACATAAGCCTGTTACCCAACACAGAGAGAAGAGAGAGAGAGAAAGAAGAGGAGAGAGAAAGAGAGAGAGAGAGAGAGAGAGAGAGCGGTGTCCCAGAATGCAACAGGAATGCGGCGGTGTCGTTGTCGTCGTCGTCGTCGTCGTCGTAACTCGGGACATTATAAATATGATTATGCAAAGCGAGTGTCCTGGTTTAGAGTCTAATCTTAGCCCCGAAGCGCTCGTCTCCTCTCCTCGGCGATTAATCGAAAACGAGAAAAAAAACGAGAAACGAGACGGAAAAAAAAAACCAGAACGAGAAAAATTTTAAACTTTGGATTCGTAAAAATGTAAAAAAAAAAAAAAAAAAAACGAATAAAAAATGTCTGTGGAAGAGGATCGAAAAGCAAAAGATTTATGCTCAAAGAATCAAGGACTAAACCAGGACTAAACCAGGACTAAACAAGGACTAAACCAGGACTAAACCAGGACTAAAACAAGGACTAAACCAGGACTAAACAAGGACTAAACCAGGACTAAAACCAGGACTAAACCAGGACTAAACCAGGACTAAACCAGGACTAAACCAGGACTAAAACCAGGACTAAACCAGGACTAAACCAAGGACTAAACCAGGACTAAACCAGGACTAAAACAAGGACTAAAACCAGGACTAAACCAGGACTAAACAAGGACTAAACCAGGACTAAAGGACTAAACAGGACTAAATAAACCAGGTCTAAACCAGGACTAAACCAGGACTAAACCAGGATTAAAACCTGGACTAAACAAGGACTAAACCAGGACTAAACAAGGACTAAACCAGGTCTAAACCAGGATTAAAACAAGAACTAAACCAGGACTAAGCCAGGACTAAACCAGGACTAAACAAGGACTAAACCAAGACTAAACCAGGTCTAAACCAGGATTACAAGAAGGACTAAACCAGAACTGAACCACGACTAAACCAGGACCAAGACTTCTAAAGCAGGACTAAACAAGCACTATTTATACATCCAGTGTGTCAGTGTGTGTCTAGGTCTAAACCAGGTCTAAACCAGGTCTAAACCAGATCTAAACCAGGTCTAAACCAGGTCAAAACCTGGTCAAAACCAGGTCTAAGCCAGAATTTAAAACAGGATCTAAACCAGGTTTACAACAAGGACTAAACCAAAGGTTGCATGCCATAACAAACCAATCTGTACCAGGAACTAAACCAGGACTAAAGCAGGACTAAAGCAATACTAAACCACATCTTAACCGAGAATTAAAAAGAACTAAACCAGGACTAAAGGAGGTCTTAACCAGGTCTTAATTAAACCAGAATTCAAGCACAACTGAACAAGGTCTGGCAATAACAAACCAGGTCTTTAACGGGAACTAAACCAGGACTAAACAAAAATACTAAACTAGGACTAACCAGGACTTAAAGAGGGTTAAACCAGGACTAAACCAGGACTAAACCAGAATCAAAACAAGATTCAAGCACAACTGAACAAAGTCTGGCAATAAGAAACAAGGACTAAACCAGGACTAAACCAGGACTAAACCAAGAACTGTAAAGAACTAAACCAGGACTAAACCAGGGACTAGTTTTTGAACTTTGTGCCAGTTTTTGTTTCATGTGAACAGAAAAACTGAGTAACAACATACACTCTTAAATAAATTCTCTAAAACTTGCATAAAAGTGAAGATAAAGTGAAGTAAAGTGAAGTTAAAGTGAAGATAAACTGAATTAAAAGTGAAGTAAAAGTGAATTAAAAGTGAAGATAAACTGAAGTAAAAGTGAAGTAAAAGTGAATTAAAAGTGAAGATAAACTGAATTAAAAGTGAAGTAAACGTGAATTAAAAGTGAAGTAAAAGTGAAGATAAACTGAAGTAAAAGTGAATTAAAAAGTGAATTAAAAGTGAAGATAAACTGAATTAAAAGTGAAGTAAACGTGAATTAAAAGTGAAGATAAACTGAAGTAAAAGTGACTTAAAAGTGAATTAAAAATGAATTAAAAGTGAAGATAAACTGAATTAAAAGTGAAGTAAACGTGAATTAAAAGTGAAGTAAAAGTGAAGTAAAAGTGAAGTAAAAGTGAATTAAAAGTGAATTAAAAGTGAAGATAATCGTTCTTACTGATGGCGATGGCCTGGTCGTACTTGTGGAGCGCCTCCTCGACCCTCCGCTCCACGTACAGGGCGCTCCCCTCCCGCCGCAGCCGCACCGCCCGCTCTCTGCCCGGGTACAGTTTGGACAGGAGCCCCGACAGCACCACGTTCACCCGGTACCCGTCGGCGGCGCCGGCTCCGTCGCGTCGGCACACGGCGCACCGCAGGGGGCGCTCTCTCTCCAGACACCTCTTACAGAAACAGTGTCCGCACGCCAGGGTCACCGGCTCGAACAGGAAGCCCAGGCACAGCGGGCACGACACGTCCAACGCCTCCACGCCGCCGCCGCCGCCGCACGACCGCTCCGAGTCCAACAACGCCAACGAGGACCTGGACGTGTGCTCCTGAGAACAACACACGAGGACGGAGACGATTTAGAGCTCGAGTCTCCAACACTTTTCCTCCACTGACAAAAACGCTCCAGAGCTGCGAAGTTTTAACCAAACTGGAGCCACGAGGTCAAGAAACAGAAAACACGAAACCAGGAGAATCAAACTCAAACTCACAGAGGCTAAAATTAAAAACTAAGGCACTACTGTATTATCTGGGCTATTAGACGCGCTCTTAAAGGTTGTATAGAGGATTTTTTAAGGGAAGAGAAATACAGCGACAGTCCTTTTTCAAATGTTGTGCATGTGTGACACCACCTTCCTCAGAAGAAACACCTCCTCCCACTTCTTTACTCTAGAAATCACATTTGTTTACCTCCAGTGTGCGTTCAGAATTACTGTTGAAGTGACCTGCCTAGAAATATTTTAGCGACCGACGCTTCAGTTTTTAGACCCTTCGTCCGCTTCAGTCGCGCCGTCGCTGGAAGGAATCTCCAAGAATCACCTCAGTTTGTCTTCGCTCCTTTTCGTCTTCTCTTCTTCTTCTTTCAGCGACCTCAAAAACGGACTTTCTTTGGTGGCGAACTGGTCGTGGATTCTCGTCCGCCATCGCGACAAACTTTGTGCGAACTGCGACGAAGCGACGGTTTGAAAAAGCCTCTAAGAACCGCCGCATAAACCACGTAATCCCAGCGCGTCGGCGAGTCACTTACACTAGAAATGTAGGGAGTTTGATCGACAACCTAACAGCCAATAGATAAAGAGGGAGCCTCGTTGTCTATTGGCTGATGTTTATCTGGCCTCACTACGTCCACAGTTGATAGATTTTCATTCTTTTTTTTTTTTTTGGTCATCATAATTACAAGGCTGCTGCGTCTCTGTAATGGTATTTTAAACTTTCACTAACAATTTGAAACTAAAAAAAAAATCCTCCATACAACCTTTAAGCCTCCAAGCCACAATCCAGAGCGCCCCATACACGAATCCACCCGGGTGTCCCAGTACGACTTCAGTAAACTACAAAGCCGCAACCACCCGCAGAACACGCAAACACACAAACACACACGGAGCAGACGGCGACCGCACAGAGAAACACACCCACAGACACACTCATCACTCCACGCCGACGAGGAACGGAACGGAGGAACGAACCGAAAAAGCGACGAGTGGAATGTGCCGCTTCTAGACACGACTGAACAACTGAGTCACTGCAAAAACGCCGACAATCCGTTGGTCCCAGACACACCCTCCCTACACGCCACAACTGAACAAAGCCCAGAGTCACCGTGAACGAACAAACAAACAAAACCACTCACACATCACACTGTTGGGTTTCATTTAAAGTCCCACGCCGTTTATTTGTGAAAAAAGTTCAAAAACTGACCATTTAATGACAGTGCGTCTTATAATCCAGAGCTTAAAACAGTGCGGGAAAAAAGGTAAGTCGTGGGCCAAACTAAATATTTATTATTTATTATTATAAAAATCTCAACAACATCTACATATTTTCTCTTCTTTCAAGATATTTAATGTTAAAACTTTTCTTATTCAAATAAAAGTTTAATAATAGTTTTGCTTAAACATTGAATCCAGAACAAACAGAATATAAAATAATAACAACACTTTTAATAAATATTGTCTCTATAGTCGATGGGCAGCTCTAATACAGATTTGATAAGATCTCGCGGGCCAAATATTATTATATCGCGGGCCATATTTGGCCCCGGGCCTGGGTTTGACATGTCTGATCTAGACGGTTTACAAGAACCTCGGAAGTTGTAGACCACACACCGACCAATCAGAGAAGAGACAGACATTCTGTGTTGGCAACGATTCCCGAGATCGAGGATTTAAAGTCGGAACAAAGAGAATGTTTGGTGAATTTGAAAGACGTTTTTATTCTTCTTCCTACAGGATTTGGAGCTTTACAAACGTCACGACCAAACAGCAGCGATTGGTTCAATAAAAAAAAGAGTCACACGGTTTCCACCAAGTGAAACCGGCTCATGAATCAGGCAAACGAATTTGGCCACAAAAAATTTTGATGATTATAAGAAAAATGATGAAACTTTGGGTCCAGTTAGACGCCGAAAAAACAACGGTACAACGGTAATGAGCCAGAAGAAAACCAGGACTACACCAGGACTAAATCAGGTCTAAACCAGGATTAAACCAGGTCTAAACCAGGTCTAAACCAGGACTAAACCAAGGACTAAACCAGGACTAAACCAGGAACTAAAACCAGGTCTAAACCAGGACTAAACCAGGACTAAACCAGGTCTAAACCAGGACTAAACCAGGACTAAACCAGGACTAAACCAGGACTAAACCAGGACTAAACCAGGTCTAAACCAGGACTAAACCAGGACTAAAACCAGGACTAAACCAGGACTAAACCAGGTCCTAAACCAGGACTAAACCAGGACTAAACCAGGACTAAACCAGGACTAAACCAGGACTAAACCAGGACTAAACCAGGTCTAAACCAGGACTAAACCAGGACTAAACCAGGTCTAAACCAGGTCTAAACCAGGTCTAAACCAGGACTAAACCAGGTCTAAACCAGGACTGAAACCAGGACTGAACCAGGTCTAAACCAGGTCTAAACCAGGACTAAACCAGGTCTAAACTAGGACTAAACCAGGTCTAAACCAGGTCTAAACCAGGACTAAACCAGGTCTAAACCAGGTCTAAACCAGGATTAAACCAGGACTGAACCAGGACTAAACCAGGTCTAAACCAGGACTAAACCAGGAAAACCAGGACTAAACCAGGACTAAACCAGGTCTAAACCAGGACTAAACCAAGACTAAACCAGGTCTAAACCAGGACTAAACCAGACTAAACCAGGACTAAACCAGGACTAAACCAGGTCTAAACCAGGACTAAACCAGGACTAAACCAAAAAAACTAAACCAGAATTATACCAGGATTCTAGCACAACTGACCAAGGTCTAATAATAACAAACCAGGTTTTTACCAAGAACTAAACCAGGTCTAAACCAGGACTAAACCAGGTACTAATCTGTGTGTCAGATGCCCTCCCGTCCTTCTGTGTTCCTGTAGTGTCAGACTGAGGTGGGGGCAGGTCACAAACAAAACAAAACAAAAAAAGAAAAAGGAAAGAAGTAAATCATTTGAACAGAGGAGTAAATGTGTAAAAGATAAAACGACCTACATTTGTTTTGTTTTTTTGGGTCAAGTTTTATGACTGTTGATTTTATTGCTGCCATTATCTTTTTGTATTTGTATTTTATTTTATTTTATTGTATTTTTGTGTACGTGGGTTTAGATTATGATTTGTATAGATTTTTTTTTTTCTTAGACCTTGTGTTGTTGTGTTGTTGTGTTGGAAAAACTTCTTTGTGTTTGACTTTTGGAGATGACGTCATCACGTTGTATAAACTAAAAATAAATTATGTAAATGAGCGACTGTGTCAATCAACTACAACAACAACAGTTTATATTACATGACCTGGTTTAGTCCTGGTTTAGACCTGGTTTAGACTTGGTTTAGACCTGGTTTAGACCTGGTTTAGTCCTGGTTTAGTGTATTAGTATTTAGTGTAGTCTTGCTTCAGGAGTATAGCTTTGGGTTATATTGTTGTATTTTTAGGTTATATTGTTGTATTTTTAGGTTATATTGTTGTATTTTTAGTTATATTGTTGTATTTTTAGGTTATATTGTTGTACTTTTAGATTATATTGTTGTATTTTTACGTTATATTGTTGTATTTTTATGTTATATTGTTGTATTTTTAGATTATATTGTTGTATTTTTATTGTTGTATTTTTTGTTATATTGTTGTATTTTTAGGTTTTATTGTTGCATTTTTAGGTTATATTGTTGTACTTTTAGATTATATTGTTGTATTTTTACGTTATATTGTTGTATTTTTAGATTATATTGTTTGTATTTTTAGTTATATTGTTGTATTTTAGTTATATTGTTGTTATATTGTTGTATTTTTAGATTATTGTTTTTTATTTTATTGTATTGTTGTATTTTTAGGTTATATTGTTTGTATTTTTTAGTTATATCGTTATTTTTATTATATGTTTATTTTTAGTTATATTTTGTATTTTTAGTTATATTGTTGTATTTTTATTATTTGTTGTATTTTTATTTTGTTGTATTTTTACGTTATATTGTTGTACTTTTAGGTTATATTGTTGTATTTTTAGATTATATTGTTGTATTTTTAGGTTATATTGTTGTATTTTTAGGTTATATTGTTGTATTTTTAGATTATATTGTTGTATTTTTAGATTATATTGTTGTATTTTTAGATTATATTGTTGTATTTTTAGTTATATTGTTGTATTTTTAGATTATATTGTTGTATTTTTATGTTATATTGTTGTATTTTTAGATTATATCGTTGTATTTTTACATTATAAAGAGTTTGTTTTTGAGGAGGGAACAGAGTTAGATCACGTCTTAAATCCGACAAGAGTCCGGTTTTGCGCAATTTGATATGATACATAACTCGATACATACTTGATACATAACCTCGATACGATACATACTTGATACATAAGCCACAATACGATACATAACTCGATACATAACCCCGATACGATACATAACTCCATACATAACCCACGATACGATACATAACTCGATACATAACATACGATACTCCATACATAAGCCACGATACGATACATAACTCGATTCATAACACCGATACGATACATAACTCGATACGATACATAACTCCATACATAACCCCAATACGATACATAACTCGATACATGACCCCGATACGATACATAACTCGATACATAACCCCGATACGATACATAACTCGATACATAAGCCACGATACGATACATAACTCGATTCATAACACCGATACGATACATAACTCGATACGATACATAACTCCATACATAAGCCACGATACGATACAAAACTCAATACTTAAGCCACAATACGATACATAACTCGATACATAAGCCATGATACGATACATAACTCCATACATAACCCCGATATGATACATAACTCGATACATAACCCCGATACGATACATAACTCGATACATGACCCCGATACGATACATAACTCGATACATACCCACGATACGATACATAACTCCATACATAAGCCCGATACGATACATAACTCCATACATAACCCGATACGATACATAACTCCGATACATAACCCCGATACGATACATAACTCGATACATAACCCCGATACGATACATAACTCGATACATAACCCCGATACAATACATAACTCGATACATAAGCCACAACACGATACATAAGTCATGATACGATACATAACTCGATACATAACCCCGATACGATACGTAACTCCATACATAACCCCGATACGATACATAACTCAATACATAAGTCACGATACGATACATATCTCGATACATAAGCCACAACACGATACATAAGTCATGATACGATACATAACTCGATACATAACACCGATACGATACATAACTCGATACATAAGACACGATATGATACATAACTCAATACATAACCCCGATACGATACACAAGTTCATACATAAGCCACAATACGATACATAAGCCACGATACGTAACATATCTCGATTCAGTGAGCTTTTCTTTCCGATACAATATCTCAAATCGATTCGATACGGCGCGCGTGACACTTAAAAGTCTTGGTTAAACCACTTCTTCTTGCGCAAAGTTCAAACAACGAAACACAAACATTTTAATTCCCAAAACAGTGAAAAAGTCAAACGCGTTAAGATGACGTGAGTTAAGAAAGACAGCACCCCCCCTCCTCTTCCTCCCTCCTCCCTCCTCTTCCTCACCTGTCTCCGGATGCCGTCCACCAGACAGTCTATGAGCCGGTCCAGGTGCGCGGGCCTCAGCCTCTCCACCTCCGCGGCGCTCCGGTACACGCGGAACGCTTCGGCGAACTTCCCGGCGAAGGCGAGCGCGTCCGCCCGCCTCACCATCAGCTCCTGGCGGCTGCGCGCGTCCCGGGCCCCCGCCGCCTGGCACTCGTAGATCTCCGCCGCCAGGTCGAAGTTGTGCGCCCGGAAAGCCTCGGAGGCGAGCTGCAGCATCATCGCGCTCTCCGACTCCATCTCCGATCCAAAAAAAACTAAACAAAAAAAAACCCAAAACAAAAAAACCCCAAAAAAATCTACACTTGAGAATCACAAACACGTGCGCGCGTCTTTACGTCCAGCATGGTAACGCTCCGAGCCTTGTTGCGTAAAGGTCAGACCCAGTTTAGACCCGGTTCCGTCTGGGTTCAGTCCTTCAACGTTGTATCCTTCTGTGGTCCGGGTTTAGTCTTGGTTTAGTCTTGGTTTAGTCCTGGTTTAGTCCTGGTTTAGTCCTGGTTTAGATCTGGTTCCGTCCTTGTTGCGTAAAATCTTAGTCCCAGTTTAGTCCTGGTTCCGTCCACTTTTAGTCCTGGTTCAGTCTGGATTCAGTCCTTTAACGCTGTATCCTTCTTTAGTCCTGGTTTAGACCTGGTTTAGACCTGGTTTAGTCTTGGTTTACACCTGGTCTAGTCCTGGTTCAGGTCTGTCTCTCCTTGTTGCGTAAATGTTAGACCCGGTTCCGTCTGGATCCGGGTCTTTAACGCTGTATCCTTCTTTAGTCCGGGTCTAGTCCTGGTTCAGTCTTGATTCAGACCTGGTTCAGTCCTGGTTTAGTCCTGGTTTGCACCTGGTTCAGTCCTGGTTCAGTCCTGGTTCAGTTCTGTCTCTCCTTGTTGCGTAAATGTTAGTCCCAGTTTAGTCCCGGTTCCGTCTGGATTCAGTCCTTTCACGCTGGATCCTTCTGTAGTCCGGGTTTAGTCCTGGTTTAGATCTGGTTCAGACCTGGTTCTGTCTCGTATGAACCAAAAAAAACCCAAATCCATGTACGTGCGTCCCCGGTGCGCTCCTCGAAGCTGCGCGGACGCCTTCTGAATGAGACCGCGGCGACGGGGAAAAAAACACACACAAAAAAAAAGTTACGTAAAATGCGAGTCATGTGACCTGCGTGCGCGGCTCTGATTGGTCGCCGGGGGACGCGGTTACAAAACGCGGAGACACGTAACAGTCCGGGGAGTAGGGCAGCGCGCAGAGTCTGACCCAGAGAGCGCGCGCCGTAAACAGAGGCGAGGCCGGGACACGAGGGGGGGAGGGGGGAGGGGTTGGCCCACTGCGGCACACGAGCCCGATCTGGGTCAAACCCGAGCCGAGTCGAGTCGAGTCGAGTCAAGTCGAGTCTGACAAGTTTTTCTTTCACACAGAAACACAAAACTAAATATAGAGCAGTTTTCATAACAGAGCGGTTACGTGCACATGACCAGATTCTAGGACGCGCTCTGAGACCTGGACCTGGTTTAGTCCTGGTTTAGACTGGTTTAGACTGGTTTAGACCTGGTTTAGTACAGGTTTAGTACAGGTTAGACTGGTTTAGGGTTTACCTGGTTTAGACCTGGTTTAGTACAGTTTAGACTGGTTTAGAACTGGTTTAGTCCTGTTTTAGACCTGGTTTAGAATGTTTAGACAGTGGTTTAGACAGGTTTAGACCTGGTTTTAGAACTGGTTTAGGTTTAGACCTGGTTTAGATGGTTTAGACCTGGTTTAGACCTGGTTTAGACCTGGTTTAGAACTGGTTTAGTACAGGTTTAGACCTGGTTTAGACCTGGTTTAGTACAGGTTTAGACCTGGTTTAGACCTGGTTTAGACCTGGTTTAGTCCTGGTTTAGACCTGGTTTAGTCCGGGTTTAGACCTGGTTTAGTCCTGGTTTAGACCTGGTTTAGATCTTCTATAGTCCTGGTTCAATCCTGGTTTAGTCCTGGTACAGTCTAAGTATCAGCCATAGATTTGGTTTAGTCCTAAATTTGGTTCTGGTTTAGATCTGGTTTAGTCGTGGATCAGTCCTGCATTGGTCTTGGTTTAGTCCTGGTATAGTCCAAATATTTGCTGTAGATCTGGTTTAGTCCTGCTTTAGTCCTGATTTAGACCTTTATTTAGTCTAAGTTTAGACCTATCTTAGTCCAGGTTTAGTCCTGGTTTAGACCTGTTGTAATCCTTTTACAGCTCACATGACTGTCCCAAGACTAAAGCAGGTCTAAAGCCAAAGCCAGGACTTTAACCGGTCTAAAGCAAGGCTAAATCTGGACTAAAACCAGGACTAAATCAGGACTAAACCAGGACTAAACCAAGACTAAAACAAAAACTAAACCAGGACTAAACCAGGACTAAACCAGGTCTAAACCAGGTCTAAACCAGGACTAAACCAGGACTAAACCAGGACTAAACCAGACTAAACCAGGACTAAACCAGGTCTAAAACCAGGACTAAACCAGGACTAAACCAGGACTAAACCAGGTCTAAACCAGGACTCTAAACAGGTTAAAACCAGGTCTAAACCAGGACTAAACCAGGACTAAACCAGGACTAAACCAGGTCTAAACCAGGTCTAAACCAGGACTAAACCAGGTCTAAACCAGGACTCTCCACGTGAAACAAAACCTGTTTCAGAGTGTGCGTGTAAATAAACTCGTTTCTGCTGATTCAGCTCGTTTCCGTGGCGATAAACGAAAAAAAAACAAAAACAAAAAAAAAACGTTATTACATTCTGACATTTGGAGCTGTCGCATCTCCACGGAGACGGGAGAGGAG